AAGGAAGGAAGGAAGGAAGGAAGGAAGGAAGGAAGGAAGAAAGAAAGAAAGAAAGAAAGAAAGAAAGAAAGAAAGAAAGAAAGAAAGCTGAAATATACTTAAGCTGACTGTGGCAATAATGGGTAGAACTGGGTTTACTCTGCTCTCCACTCCACCATAGATTTCAGGATCTGATCTTCTTCAAAATCTTATATATTTCAGGTTACTGAAGCTATCTATTCTCTATTCTCCCCTCATTCTCTCATGTTCTGTCTCCTTCTCTCTTAATAGGTACTTGTTAAATATAAGTTCTTTATCCCTGTATTTATTATGCTTCCATTTGTTATACCGCTACCACACAGATACTGTGAATTTGATGGGTACCACCTGTGCAGTAATGGTATATTAAACAGAGGTATAATATTTTCCCAGTGCATGCCAGAATACTCACTTCATGAAAGTATTCAGGTTAGCTTTGTATGCAGCATGACAGGGCCGGCCCTGCCGTGAGGTAGGATGAGATGGCCACCACAAGGAGCAGGCATGGGTTGTCCGGCTCCATATTGTTAGCTTCATAAATGGTTGATGGCTTGATTTTTACTACCATGCATAACAAGAGGGGCTTGGTTTTGTGCTCCCCCTGTGCCAAAAAATAATTTTGTTGGCCTCAGACGCTACAGCTTGACGTTGGCGGTGGAGACGTCATTTCTTATTTTTCTTTCATTTGCAAAAGATCTCAGGACGGCCACGATCTAATGTTTTATCCCGTTATCACTTGATGATAGAATCTCTGCCATTGTAAACATCTGGAATTATTGGCAATCTGAGACAACTCTGGAGAACGTGATGAAATCCGGAAATGATGGGGATCGCTGAAATGTGGGTGTTGGCATGCACATGGGGATATATATGTATCTTCTGTTCTTAGACGTAGATGCATCAACTGGTCTTGAATTCCACCTGGACAGTGAAATGCCCCAGCTTGTCTTACCTATATGTCGAATATTCGCCAAATTTCAGACATTTGGCATCACCAATTTGGGACCGCATAATCTGGCTGGATAGCTCAGTGGCTTAAGGTATCTGACTGTGGAGCCAGATGTTGGGGGTTTGATTCCCCCATGGGGCCTCCTGCAAGTATAGCCAGCCTGGGTGGCTTTGGTCAAGCTGCATAGTCATCTCGGGGTGTGTCCCCCCCACCCCCAAAAAAGAAGGGAAGGATAAACCGTTGCTGAGTACTCTATACTGAAAAGAAAACCTGGAACCCTAAGGGAGAAAGGACGTGATGACAGTCAAGTATTCAACTTAAAGTTCAAGCTTTCCAAACGAAAGGATCTTATTAGACGGACGTGTTGTGTGGAATCATTATGGAGGACTTGGCTTCTGAAACGGAAAAAATATGCCAGTGTATAGAAGTTGCATCCATAAGGGGAATAATTCTGGGTTTTTTTTGTGTGGCCGTTCCTTCCCCCTTGTAGTATCAGCGCTGATGTCCTTTCAAAATACGTTTTCCCTTCCTCGTTCTTGGAAGAGTTTTCCCTTTGTGATGCTTGAGTGAATGATTCCAAAGAACTAGGCCGAAGGAGGACCAGGAGCGATTTAATCAAATCTCCGGGGAAGTTACAGCTTTATCTGATGTTATTTCTTATTATTAAGTGGCTGGGAAGGAGTTAATGACACATTCACCTAGGCATGATTAATGCAAGAGGGAAAGATAGAAACTTAGGAAAAGGGGGCATATGGTAATGTAGGAAGTCGTCTTACGGTGAATCAAAAGTTTGGTCCATGTAGCCCACCTGAAGAGCCCTGTAATTACCTCAGGGGTCTCTCATCTGAGGCATGATGCTTCTTAGCTAGCAAAATAAAACAAAATCATCCACTGTTCATCTTAGACGGTGAGCCTGAACCCAGTTCTTGGAGAACAGATATTCTCCCAATTTTCGATGACATTTTCCAGAATCCCCAGTCAGCATGGCCAGGGAACTCATGAAATCTCCTCAGATTACGTGCCTTGAGAGGGTGCTCTGTCCTGAACAAAATAATGGTCAGTTTGTTTTGACTGAAACCATAGTTTTACAACTACGTATATGGATGGAAAGGGTATATCCTCAGCTCCTTGCTCTCAGTAATTTAGTTGAGGAAGAATTTTAACATGCTACTATATTCCTCTCATCACCATGGATGAGTGTCAAAGCTGGACAGTAAGGAAAGCAGGCAGGAAAAAAAATTGGTTAGTTTGAAATGTGGTGCTGGAGGAGAGCTTGGTGGATAGGCTGGTCTGCCGGAAAGACAAACGAGGGGATGCTAGATCAAATCAAGCCTGGACCTTCTCTGGAGGCAAAAAATGTGGAAACTGAGGCTGTCCTCCTTGGGACATATCATGAGAAGGCAGGATTCTTTGGAAAAGGCAATAATGCTGGGAAAGGTGGAAGGGAGCAGGAAAAGAGGAAAGCCAAAAATAAGAAGGACTGACTCTTTAAAGGAAGCCACAGGCTTGCATTCACAGATTCTGAGCACAACAGTTGAGGACAGGAAATTGCTCATTCATGAGGTCGCTGTACATAGGAGGTAACTTATAGGCACACAACAACAACCAATAAGATTCCTCCAGCCAAGGGAAAGGCAAAGGTCTCCCTTCCTGGCCCACCTCAAGGATCCTGTAATTTTGCAAAATATCTGTATTGATGTTTTCCCTTTGGAGAGCAAAGAACACACCTGGAAAGAGCAGGAGGGCTGGCTGATTGTCAAGGAAGACTCAAATAACCCAACCAGTGCTTGAAATTCTTAAACAATATGGCAATCCTCCTAGTTTGGGGCAATTTGCACATTTTTTGCCTCAAACAGGCAAGTCTAAAGCAAAAAAGAATAGGCAATCTCATAGAAATATAATTCTTGGCAATGTGCGGACTCTAATGAGAGCACAAACGATTCCTTAGCATCCTTGCTAGCACGGGCAAAAATGTCCGTGTGTGAGACAGAACAAGACAAGCAATGATTTATATCCTTATAAGACCATACTCTGCATTTTTTCAGAGTTGATCACCAGCCTGGTTCATGGGCTCCATACCTTCCTTTTCTGCTTCCCTTTTTAACTCCTTAAATGCAACCCATCAAAACAGACATTACAAAAAGCTCGTGTTTTGTACCAGCATTCCCTTAAGAGGTTGAATTCATTCCTAAGCTTTGTTTCGCCGGCTGATTGCTCAGTCCCAGCAGCTTTGATGGTTGCAGTCTTCGGAGGGAAAATGTTTTATCCCCTTTCAATTGCAAAGCTCGTCCCTTGTCAAAGAGTTCGGCAAAGCAAGCCCGGATTCTTCCAACCCTTAATATTTATCTTTATATCCAAATGTGGCAATAATTTTCTATAAGAGGTTGAACGGACAAGTAGTGGCACCTCATCCTCCTTCGGATTGCAACCTCATCTTTTCAAAAGGCAGATCGGAAGATTTCCGCTGAATCAGACCGACAGATGATCTCACCCTTTTGCCAGCAGGGTATGACTTAATGACTCCATTTGACAGCACATGATTATTATGAAGTATGGAAAGGATTGCAGTTCAAAATCACTATTATTTATTATTATTATTAATTTAATTTATATGCCGCCCACTCTACCCAGAGGTCTCTGGGCGGCTTATAATAATTAAAATTCAATACAATAAAATGATTAAAATACAATTAAAATACAATTAAAATTGCCATCATCAGGACCCACAGTTGAATGGCTTGGCGTGAAGACTTGAATGGCTTGGCATGAAGAAGACGCCATCAGAGTCCAACAAAAGTAATTTAATTATTTATTTAAAATATTTTCACCCCACCTTTCTCCTTAAATGGACCCAGGTTCCCCCCCCCCAGTAATATCCAGATTCTCAGCTTACTCCCCTTGTAAATTACTACCCCTTCCTCCTGGGGACGTGGTGGCGCTGCGGGCTAAACCGCAGAAGCCTCTGTGCTGCAGGGTCAGAAGACCAGCAGTCGTAAGATCGAATCCATGTGACGGAGTGAGCGCCCGTCGCTTGTCCCAGCTCCTGCCAACCTAGCGGTTCGAAAGCATGTAGAAATGCGAGTAAATAAATAGGTACCACTTTGGTGGGAAGGTAACAGCGTTCCGTGTCTAAGTCGCACTGGCCATGTGACCACGGACGATTGTCTTCGGACAAACGCTGGCTCTATGGCTTGGAAACGGGGATGAGCACCGCCCCCTAGAGTCAGACACGGCTGGACCAAAAATTGTCAAGGGGAACCTTTACCTTTACCTTTACCTTTACCCCTTCCTCCATGGTTTCCCCTTTTGAACTCACATTTTTGCAAGGGTGTCTCTCTTACAGAAATGCTGCCCATTCCACCCAGTCTTCTCAGGCCACCCCGAGGGAGGCAAGGCGGTTAGATAATGGGGTCTATCAGTTAGATAGTGGGGTCTTCTT